AAGAACAGCACTAAAAAAAAATTTATTTAAATAACAAACGATTATGATTGTTATTAATAAGTAGGTAGATTTATCTATAGCTTATTATCTATTTATTTAAAAATACTTTATTTAACATATTTTTTTTGATATTTGTAGTAAAACAATCTCAATAAATTCACGCTAAATTGTAAATTAAGATATATAAGCACTGTAGTTTGCAGCTTTTGTGTCTTAATTTTGCACTTTTTAACATTTTCTTATGTGTTTAAAATTACTAACCGTGAAAAAAACGGTTAATTTTGTTTTACGAAAAAGAACAATTATTTCATTACAGTATACCTACCTATTTGAACGCTGAATTTACTTGCGGACTGTTCAGAACGCGGTAATAACATATATAGAATTATGTATGTTACTTGGATAATATTAATATGATGTTTAATATAATTTCTTCATATAAATTATCATTACATTAATATTTTACAGGTCCTTTTATCACTTGCAAAAAAAAGTCATCTCCAGTGCCTTTTAATAATAATAAAAATTTGAAAGATAAGAATAATCTTGTGCGTGCTACTTGTTGTGCACCTCCATATAGGGATCATACAAATTTTAATTATGAAAACGATCAAAATAACGATAATGCAACAGAACCATTACATTACTTGTCTAATCAATCTAACAATTGGACTTCAGAGTAAGTAAATATTTCAAAAAAAAAAGAAAAATATGTTTATTCAATCATAATTATATATGCATAATTATTTTATTATATTATATTATATTATATTTATATTATATTTATATTATATTATTTATAATATTTATTATATATTATATATTATTATATATAATTTTAGACAACTAACACGTGAAGTTATAAATGGAAATCTATCTGGATATGAAGTAGCACAAATGGATAATATCTTAAACACAACTTTAATTCAAACAGATAATCCTTCTTCATCTAATTCTCAAGAAGATAATAATAATAACAATACTAATAATGATGATTCAAGATCTGAATCAAGTAATACTCAAAATAATAGAGAACATATACGAATTTCTAATATTTTAATTTCTCAAAAAATATCTATGAATGTGAATTTACTCAATAATGATTCTTGATTTCAAAAATATGCATATCATAAGATAATATGTTAATCAAGTGCCTCATTTATATAAAGCAACATTAAATTTTTTTTATATAGAATTAAATAATTAAAAAATAATTTTAATGAACATTAAAAACTATAAAAATAATAAATATTTTAATATACAATTAAATATCCATTATTTAGGCCATAATATTTTAGAATAATAATTCATTTAAAAAATAAATAGTAATTGATATTTAAAATAATCAGCTAAACTCTGTTCTAGTCAATAAATCTTAATAATATTGACTGCTAATAAAATGAAATAATTTTTTTATTTTATTAAATATATGTTTGAAAAATAATTTTAAAAATAATTTCATTTTTCTTTTCATATCAAATGAAAGTTTGTATTTTTCAAAATAATATAAGATATATCAGCATTATGGCCTTATATATTTCTTATGTCTTACTTATTTCATTTAATTTTTGTTTTTCTACTTATTTTTTACTTTTAAAGAAATTTAAAGATAAGTAGAATTTTAGAATTTAATCTAATGTCAATGATTGTTTATAAATTTTTTCTCTATTTTTAAGTATTAAATGACAAGTTTTTAATATTTTTTATTAATAATTTTATTAATAAAAAATATCAAATTCTTTTTTATATATTATATAAAAATATTATTATATTAATCATTTTATTTTAAATATATTGCATGATAATCCTTTAAATTTGAATTTTGATTTATAGATTGCTCAATATTTTGCAATATTTATTAATAAAATTTATTTGTTTCTTATTCTTTAAAATTGTATTATTTGATTTATATGTTGAATAAAAATTTTTAGTATAATTTAATATAAAGGATTTCTAAAAGAGCAAAATTTCTATGAATTTCTTATATTTTAAAAACATAATACATTTTGTATGTTTAGAAAATATAAATATTATTAGTTACTTATTTATAAAATATAAATTATAATTATATAAATATCAACATGTTTTATTTTTATTATATATAATATAATAAATTATTATATTATATATAATAAGATAGTAATTTTTAATAATTATGATTATTAAAATATATATATTTTATAATATTTTCATAATACATATAATATTTCATATATATTTTATAATATTTAATAATTATGATTTACATTCATTATAATTTATATTTTATACTCAAATTACATACATTGTTATAAATGAAATACATTGAATGAAGTGAATTTTAAATATATGCAATCACTTACAAAATACTTCTATTATAATAAAACTTTTATTTTAATAAATATATAATTTAATAAAAAATAAAATTTATTTTTATTTTTAAAATCTTTAATAATTAATAAATTTCAAATATAAAAACTTTTATTCAGTGATATTGTTGGTTTTTAATTTGTTATAGGATTGTTATAGGAAAGTTTTTTTATATAAATATAAAATATTCATTTTCGTAATTGTAATTTTGTTGTTTTGGAGCATACTAATAATATTTAAATAAATTAATAATCTTACTTATTATTACCTATTATTATGTATTATCATAAGCGAGATAAAATAGAATTATCATCTCATAAAACTTTACATTTCAAGTTCTTTTGCTTTATGATTTAAAACAATGGATTTGAATAAATTATATTTAATTTTTTCCAAAATTAATAAAGTCTAAAAAAAAAAGTTAAAATTTCAAACATAACATTATAAAATTCCAATTTATTTATTTTAGAAAACTATTAATTTCTTATTTTTTTATCTATCATATTTTATTTAATTTTTTTTCTAATTCTTTTTATATTTTAGTTCTTGTCAAATAAAATTAAAAAATATCAATTTTAATTTTAAATAACTTTAATAAAATTTCAAAAAATATTTAAATATAATCCAATATTGATAAGACTATTGTTTAAATTCGATTTAAAATATCATCTATTGTAACTTTATGTAATCCTCATTTACTAATATGTATATATTTAGTTACTTATTGTTTATAATATAAATAAAATGTTTATACTATTAATTTAGCATTGAATCATAATATTTATTAATATTATAAGTTATTTTGTTTAACTGAATAATTTAATTGAATATCACACAAGGAAAAAATTACCAAAAAATTATTTTAACAGAAGTTATTTAGAACTAGTTTTTAGTTATTTATTATAAAAAAAATATTAATCTATTTGTATCAAAAAATCAGAAGATATTTTAATTTAATATTTATAAAAACCATATGAAAAAAAAGATAGTATAGATAGTGGAATATCATTGTGTGTTTACTATTGTCTTTCATATAATAAATTTTGCAAACTTTAAATTAAAATATCTTCTAGAAATCTTCTAAATCAATAGTTTTTCAATATAAATAAATTATTATAGGAATAATATAATTATTTTTTTTAGTGGATACATTAAATTATTCTTTATAAAAACTTATTAAATATTTGGTAAAATAATTTTTTAATATAGTTAAATATTTAATTTTTATAGAAAATAATTTAAAAAAAATATATTGATTTATATATTAAAAAATATATGATTCCATTTAAAAAACAAATGATTTTGATCTTCATAAATTTTAAACTATTTAATTTTTATCCAAATTTAAATATGAAAAATAAATGAAATATTTCATATAAAATTATTTAAAACATTATTACAATATATAAATGCAGCATATTATTATACAATATATTATTCTTTATAAAAACCTTTATAAACTAATAACCAATTTATAATCAAAAATTATAAATTTAAGAAATATTTAATTATATTTATTTCTAATAATTATTTTTATAAATAATAATATAATTATTTTTATAATTATTATTAGTAATTTCTAATATTTATTTCTAAACTAATAATTTTCTTTCAATTTTTCAAGTTATATGCTCTCATATTTTTTTTATAAAAAATACCGAGATATTAACTTATATATATATATATATTTAAAATATAAAATTTGCAAATTTTTTATGTAGTTACTTACAATAAAAATTAATAATATTAGAATTTAATTTTCTTGAATTGTTTCAATTTTTATCTGAAACACTTTTTAATATTATGAAGAATAAATAAGATATTCTGAATAATAAAGTTATACGAGATATCCAATACTTTTATACATATAAGAATTATGACTATGGCGGTAAGTAATTATATCAATTAAAATCACAAAAGTTGTTAAAATTAAGAAATTTAAAAAATTAATTAATTGTAATATTTAATTTATATTAATTAATTTAATATTACTTAAATTATATATATATAAATTATATAAATTACTTTTTTATAATTCTTTTTAATTTTAAATATATTTTAAATATATTTATTAAATGAATTCATATTTTTTTAATTACTTAATAATAAATAATATTAAACATGATAATTAATTAATAATAAACAAACACATATATGAATCTGAGTGCAAAAATAAAATAATCTAAAATAAATTTTATATAGTATAAATATAATCAAATAGAAAAAAAATAAATGTAAGATAAAAATTGATTTAACACTATTATTATTTTCTCTTTATTATTTTCTTTAGAAATACTTAATTATATCAATAATCTATAACAAATATTTTATCAACTTTTGACTAAATTCAATATTTTTTTAAATTGAATTCCTGTACTCGTTATAAACAAATTATGTTATATCTATTTTGTAACAAAGTCAGAGAAAACATAGAATATAATGTTAAAATAGAAAATATATAACTAATTTATATATTTATTTTATATATATATATATATATATATATTTATTTATTTAATAAGTTACATAATGTTAATATAATGTTAAAATAATTCTAGTTTTATTCAATAATCGATGTTCGTGATATGTATCACAATTTTTTCAACAATATTATTTGCATAACAAAAATTTTTCTATATTGAATAGTAACTGTTACACATAAATATTTTTTACTTGACTTGGTTTTTATTATAATTATAATAATCATTTCATATTCGTGGTTATTATTTATGAGCAGAAGACTTAAATCAAAATCAAACTTCTAAGTCGTTAGCAATCAAATTTGGAAAGTCATCAAAAAAGAAATACCAAATCAAAGAAATTGATCTACTCTTATTCTATCTAATCTGTGATATAACTATTGCAGAATTTAATTACAACTCCTGCCATCGCTGTTATTTAATTCTATTGTAAATACAAATATAATAATGCATAACATATTAGAATTTCTACCATTTTCGCAGCATTGTTATTTTATTCCATTCTAAATTATAATAATATCGTATGTGCACGAAAATGATAACGAAGACTTCATTATATATTATAAAAATTGAATGATAAATCTGTTCTACATTTACTCTATGCTAGTATGTTCTTTAATAAAATGAAATTTTATTATTGGTAGCAATGCATAGTACTATTTCAAATTTAGTGAATGAAAATAACTAATAATAGAATTTTATATTTATAGATATTTAATTGAATATATTATTGAGAATATTATTGCAAACATAATAATGAATGATATAATAATATTTAAAGAAAAACATATAAATATTACGGATTCACAAGTAAAAGATTTATTGCAAAATCAGATTCAGTTAATCAATCATGTTAAAAATAAACAAAATCAACATTGCAATGGTAATTTATTACATTATTATATGTATTTGCATGTTATTTGTATATATATTAAAGATACAAAAGATATTTTTTTTAGAAGATGAAATAAAAATCAAAGATTTAACATTAAAAATAACCTCTATGCGAGAAAATCTTCAATCCAAAAAACAAACGTTGGAATATAAAAATAATCTTTTATCTAAACATTTGAATCATGTGGTAATTTTTACATATTTCTTGATATATAGAATTTTTTCTTTCACTGACTTTAGTAAAAAATTAAAATTTAATACTTTTGAAGACAGAGATAAAAGAAGAAAAAGATAAATTTTTGAAAGAATATCAGCTATTAGAATTGCAAAGAAATAAACTCAAAATATGTAAACGAAATTTACAAGATCAAGAATTATTAGATAAAGGGAGGTTTGTGTAAACTTATTAGTACTTTATTATTCTTTTATTATATATTATATATTATATATTATATATTCTTATATTATATAAATTTTATAATTTTTTTTAAATTATAGAAGAAAATTTTTATTATATAAAGCATTAACAGGAATACGATGGGATTATGAAAAACTTAAAGAAACTATTACAGGATGTATCCTTTTTAATATAAAATTTATTATTTAATTCATATTTATATTCTTAATAATAATATTAGATGTATTACATAAAAATTATATTCATCATTTTTCTTATATAAATGAAGAGAATACAAAAGATATAAATAATCTTTTATGGCAAGAAATATATCAATCTATATTTCAAAAAGAGAATAATGAAATGTATAATAAAGAAAATATTGTAGAAAATAAAGAACTATAATATAAAATAAATTTTCATTTAATAATAATTGTTTATTAATTTATAAAATTATGATTAATTTATATTTAAAATAAAGAACTATAATATAAAATAAATTTTCATTTAATAATAATTGTTTATTAATTTATAAAATTATGATAACATTTTTATTTATTGTTATAATTATAATAAACGAAAATGAAAAAAAATCCAAATATTTCTTTTTAATTTATTTTGTTGATTAAAGATTAAATTATTATATTATCTTTCATGTTATTATCAAATAAAATTAATTCATATTTTTTTTTAAATTTTAATTATTTTAAAATATTTTAAAATTTTAATTATTTAATTATATATTATTATAATTATTTAATTATTTAATTATACTTATAATTATTATATCCATATATTTTATATACATTTTTTTCAAAAATTTGATGATAAAAGCATATAAAATTATATGTAAAATATTGTAAATTTCTTTTAATTAAAATGTTATACAAAAAAAATTAATATTTTATGCAAATATATAATTATTATTAAATTTTATTAAATTAAACTAATATAAAAATAAATATTTTTTTGTTTTTAATAAATTCTTATTCTATTTCATTAACAAATTTTTGTATATTGTGTAATTCGAAATTATATAAAAAAAAATAGTTTAAAATTTTTTCTCATTATAATCAATTATAAAATATTTTTTTAATATTAATACGATAAATTACTAGATTTATAACTATAAAGTAAATATAATTTTTATAATAGACTTCATTATAAAAATACATATGAAAATAAATATTCTTTTTAATTTTATAAACATATTTTATAATTTATTTTTCTTTAGCTATTATCATTTTTTTTATATACCTAAAATAACTATTTGGAACCTATATACTATACCATACATGAAGTTACGTATTCCATATTCAAGAAAGTAAATAAAAGATACGTAATACACATCAAACTGATAATTAATTTTCAATTCAAATTAAGACATTTTTCGGAATCTAAACATTTTATTATACTTTCATATTAAATTACGAATTTCGTATCTATATATTTATAGGTTTTAACCTACAAAGTAAGTTGTATATGTATAATTTTGATTTTTAAAATTTGTACAATATATTGACAACTAAATTAAAAAAATTTCTCAGACAAGAAAAATTATAAATTTAAGAAAAAACTACAACAATTTGAAATTACAACAAGAAATAATTTCTCAAAAAATCATTATAATTTATTAAAGAAGAATGTCAATGTTATTACGACTTGTTCGTTCTCATAGAATTAAGAATGGATTGATGTTTTTAAAACCAAAAGAGATTAAAATATGTAATAGAATATATCGTAGTGATTTACCAACTCAAAAAACTGAAAAAGAAGATTTATATGAAGTAAAAGATGCATGGGTTAGTTATGGATTTGACACTGAAAATAAGAAAGTTGATCGTCAAGCCATGCATATAACATTTTTTACTTGTATCTCTGTAGTCTTAATATTTGGAGCTGTTATAATTGGTTATGCACCAGATCCACTTCTGAAAGATTGGGCTCAACGTGAAGCATATCTACAACTTCGTTATAGAGAAGAAAATGGTTTGCCATTAATTGATCCAAATTTAATAGATCCATCAAAATTTATTCTTCCAAGTGAAGAGGAAATAGTTGATGTTGAAATAATTATTTAAACATTTTCAAAATATTCGGTATGGAAAAAATTAGTATTTTTAAATTAGTTATTAAAATCTTTATTATTCTATATATTTATATATTATATATTATACTATAGTATTTGAAAAAATATTTATCTGTACAATATATAATAAATGATTTTTATCCAAAATTATCATTCTTATTTATGAGTATTTTTAAAATTATAATAATCTACATGTGTATTTTTTTGGAAAAAAATATATTTGCAAATATATATAATAAATCATCTAATAATTAATAATTTTTTAATTTTTAAATATGAAAATATCATTCATTCAATATATATCAATTCAATATGTAAATATTTTATTTATTTATTTGATAACAAATTTAAAGTTGTAGTCTTATACAATAAGATAAATTATATAACACAAATATTGCATATACAATGTTATATATATGTTATTTTTAAATTATAGTGATTGAAAAATAAAATTCATAGTTACAGTTAAATAAGAAAAACTATAAGAAAAAACAGATTAATTATGATATAAAGATTTAATACTTCTTTTCTTTTAAAATTGTTTTAATTTGATTTTAATTTAAGTAATTAATAGTCTTTATCTATGTACAGAATTACATAATTTATCCTCGCATATCTGAAAATTTGTTTACATTGCGTTTAAACAAATAATAAAGTATAAACGCATAAAGTACGAGTAATACAATATATTCATAATAGATACATTACGCTCTTTATTACCTTTATTCTTCAATATGTACTTTGTTATAAAACAGATATTTTCATTAGAAATAATATGATCGTTACTGCGTTGTTGATGGTATAGATGTGGGAACAGTACTAACTTCAGTTAATTCATTTTGTTGAAGAACAGACGAATAAAAAGATGTGTTTTGAGGTAAGCTTGCACTAACGGTAATAGGTGGCATTCCGGGTAACGATATGGGCGTCGTTACAACATGAGATTGAGGCACATTGAATTGTATTGATGGTGATACATTACTTTGTACGGTTGTAAAATTTTTCGACGTTCCAACAACGCCTGTTGTTTCATTTAAGACTGTCGTATTAGTAGTAAAAGTTGATAAAGGTGGAGTTGTTGGCATACCAGGTATATTTGGCATTTTATTTTGATTTAATGTGGAATCATTATCTAAATAGGAATAATATCATTGTATTTACTTATTTGAATATTGAAATCATTTATAAATACTTACTATATGTTGCATTTATAATTCCTTGATTAGATATAACATGAGATATAGAATTAGTAGTAGTAGATCCTCCAATAGTAGCAGGATTTAATTGAGAAACATTACATGTTTGAACGTTTGGTGCATAAGTACTTTGCATCACATTAGAAGTTTCAAATTCGGATTTTATAATGTTTTCTTGTGATGAAATATAGTTTGGTGGTATGGAAAAACCTGGTGGTATGTTAGTAACTACATTACTTCCTTCTGTATGAGTAGTGTTTGATGTGACTTGATTTGAAATAGTAGATTTAACATTACTCTATAAAAGAAAAAAATAAAATTTATTATATATATATATTTTGATAAATTTCATGTAACATTAGATATGCACCATATATAAATTATTCGATTTGTGTTCTTGAATATTCCTAATAGGTATTCTATGTAGATATCCATATCCAATTCCACAACCCAAACTGTAAAGGCATAAAAATTTTATAAAATATAAAGCATAAAATAAAATATTTTAAAATACTAATAATAATGAATCCACTACCTTCCTTCTCCACCCCAAGAATGATTGGGTGTAATTGTAACTTCTCTACAAGAATCATCTTCTGTATTATATACATATAATTTTAAAAATCGAGATTCATGTGCTTCTATCAGAGTAAATAAATCCTCAGACTCATGTAAAACTGAATCAGCACCAATAATATAATCTGTGAAAGGACGTAAACCTGCTAATTCAGCAGGAGAAGATGGATATACTTCCTAACAAATAATTTAAGAAACTTTAATTTTTTTATGCAATTTTTAATTTTTTGTAATTCAATTATATTTATACTTACAAGAACATGCCAAACATTTTCATTAGAACCTTCAAAAGAACAAAATCTTACACTAACACCAAGAAGGCCTTGTCCACCCCATGTAAGACTAGGTACTATAACAGTTTGTCTTACAGATTGTGTTTTACTGCTGTATACTGTAAGTGTTAATTTTTTATCTACACCATTTTTAAGAAGCTCTTTTAATGTATCATTATCTTGATCCTATAAAAAGAAATTATATTAAATTATAATTTAATATAAATTATATAGAATTAATAATTAAATATATAATATGAATTAAAAATAAAAATTGACATAAAACATACCAAGCGAGTATTTCCAATAGCTACAATAAAGTCAAAGAATGCTTCTAGACCAGCTTTCTGACCAGGAGAACCTTCTTGTACCTATTTCAGTGATGAGGTTCGAATCAAATTTACTAAATATCTAACAAAAAGATAGCTATATTTATTGAAAAATAACTTTTAATTTTAGATTTAAATTTTAAATTATATAATAAAATTCATTGATTGATTTTTGTTTAAATTGTAATAAATCATAGTAAATTTATAATATATTATAATATTAACCACTGAAAGTTGTAGTAAAATTTATTTCATTCAATAAGAAAATATTTGAAAGAATTCACAAAGAAAATTATAATATTTTGACAAATTTTTTTTACCCTCAATACATGGTAACCTTCTGTGCCACCTCCTGGTATTTCAATACTATGAGAAGATCCCATTTTTGACAAGGAAACTTCTTAAAATACAGAAATATAAAGCATCAAAAAGATTGTTATTTTGAAAATAATAATCGAAATAGAAAAATATGTAACACAAAACTTTGTACAGATTCGTTGGTGACGTAGCCTATCATATGTAAAAGTTCTGATATGCTTACGATTCATTCAGTGTTACCAATATATGTAATATTTTTAAAAAAAAATACATATTATTTATCATCAATTTATAAATTCACTTATATTACATAGATAAATCAATAAATTTATTATAAAATTATGTAAATTATTATTAATGATTTTAAAAATAAGATATAATATTTAATTATATAATTGATAATATTAATAATAATATTAAAATGATATTAAAATCACTAATATGATTTAATTTTTCTGAATACATGTTTTCATATAAAAATATTTTAAAAGTAATCAAATTTATTTATTAAATAAATCTATTAAATATATAATTATTTAAAATTATAATAAATCATAAATATCTGAGAAATTGAATAAAATTTATAATAAAATATATAATGAAATTTAATACATTATACAAAATTTTATAGAAAATTATTAATTTTAATTTGATTCTAATTTTTTAAATTCATAAAATATTAAATAAATATTAATATTTATAATTTTCGGCTGAAAATTCATTATAAAGAGATCATTTGCGCATGTATCAAATTTAAATATATTTAAAACTAAACCGTCACATGAAACTACTTTACATACATAAAATACAATTTATAATAAAATTCAAAAAAGTTACATTATAAAAAATAAAAAAAGTATGGATTTAGATTTAGAAAAAATTCATAATATTTTAATTGAAGCTAATCTTCCATCAAGCATAAAAGATTTAAAAAATCCAACAGAAGAGTTTGTTGTCAAGTTAATTAATACTTTCTTAAAAAGATTTCATATCGATTTTAATACATTTGATAAGGTGAAAATATTTATTATTTATATTATATTATATATACATAGTAATACTTTTATTATTTGAATAAAAATTAAAAAAATTTACTTTATTAAAGCCCACAATGGAACAACAAGATATTATGCAATACTGTGAAGATTCTACTATAATTGGACTTGTAAATTTACATATTGTTATGGTTCAAATATGTGATAGAATATATTTAAAAGATCTATGTATTACAGATATAACTAGTCCAGGTAATTGTATTTAAAAATTAATTTATAAAATAATAAATTAGTTACTAATAATAAAAAATAATTATATTATTTAGGATCAAAAAAAGTACGCAAACAAGCAAAATTCCTGGCAAATTTCATATTGTATGCAACTAACAAAGAATCAGATATTGAAGATAAAGTTAATGAAATTCAAAACCGAGCAAAAATTTTACATGATATGTTAGAAAAGAAAAATGAAATATTAGAAACTAGAAAAGATAGAGCATTGCATGTAGCAAAACAATTATCATCAAAAGAAAAAGTATTAATAAAACATTGAATATATATTTATATTTTAAACTATATTATATTTCTTTTATATTCCTATTATTATATTATATTCTTTTTTTTTTTAGTACATTGTAGAAATCCAAAAATTACAATCCAAACTTGAAAAAAATAATCAAAAATATATTGAACTAATGACAAGAATGACAGCAGCAGAAGAGAAAAAACAACATGCAGTAAAACTTTGTGGAAATTATAAAGCACAAGCATTAAAGGTAAATTAACATTTAGGAATAAATTAAAATCATTTATATAATATATTATTATTATTATTATCATTATATGTATTATAGTTAAGTAAAACAATAACAGAATTACAATCAGAAATTGTACAATCACCAGAAGAATATCAAATACGTTTAAATGAATTGGAACAACAGCAAAGTGCTAAAGTTAAAGAACGTGAAACAATGCAAGAAGCATTTCAAGATAAAAAATATTTAATTGAACAACAGAAAAATATATTAACTTTTATTCAAGAACAATTAAAGAAATTTATTGAAGTTCCAAATATACATGATCGATTAAAGTATTTATATAATTTTTTAATAATATATTTTCATGAAAAATTTAAATATTATTTTATTAAATATTATATTCTTTGTTTTCAGAGAAATAAGAATACAAGAAGATAATATAAAGAAGCAAGTTAATACTCTCAAAATAGATATTGAAAAACTTGAAAAAAAATTAGAAGTTCAAAAAGATCAGCATAAAGAAGATGAAATAAGTGAAATTCATGCTCATTATATAGAACGTCTTTCTCCTTTACGTAATTTAAACATTCAATTATTAAGGTATTTTAAAAGTAATATATTAAAGAGATATTCTTAATAAAAATTATAAAATACATCTGTTTGTCTTATTAAAATTTAATAAAATTTTAAATTATAGTAATAAGAAATCATATAAAGAAAAGTTGGAAGAAATGCAAGTTCAACATAATGATGATTATTTGAAGCTGAAAAAAATACAAAACATAATAAAAAAAGTAGAAGAAGAAACTATAGAACTTCTTAAGAATTATCAAAATTTATATAACAATGAAATCTCAACTGTAAGTTTTGTTAAAATTATTTGTATATTATATCATGTAATGCATTTCCTATGCATTTTTGAAATTATATTTTTAAGAAATTAAATAAAATAAAATTTAAATTATATTTTATTAAAGAGAAAATTATTAATCAAATTCATATAATATTTAACTTTTTATATTAACAGGAAAAAACTTTATGGAAAACATGGATAACTGATTAAAAATTATACAAATATATACAATTATATAATTAAACAAAGAGAATAAAATTCTTAAAAATATCATCATTAATAGATAATCTTTCATCAATAATATTCTTAATTTTATTGGATAAATATTTTTGTATTATTCGTATATAGATATAAAATCATATATAAATAAAATAACTTAAAAAACTTAAAACTTATTAAAAAATTAAAATTTTTTATAATAATAGTTTACAAATTTAAAAATATATAAAAGATTAAAAATGTTATTGAGGTTTAATAATTAATAAAATATTATATAAATATTATATATTATATTATATGTTGGGGATTAAATATTTAAAAACACAATATATATATCATTTAATTATATTAATAATAATATTAATAATTTTTATACAATTTTTTGTATATTTACTAAATATTTTTTTTATTTTACATTTAATGTGAACTAATAATATGATTATTACTTAAAATATAATAACATATTTTGATAGAATAATTATCAACAAAATAAATATTTCAATTTTTTCTATAGAATAAAATATATACAGAGTGCTAACATATTATGGAACATTTTTAAATGGTCGTTCTGAAAGCCAAAATAAATACAAAAATATATAAAGATATATACAAAAATATTAGTTAAGGCTTATTTATTGTTATAATTAAAATTTACGTTAAACGAAGCAAAACAGAGATAGTTTTATTTTTGCTTGTCCAACTTTTGTGAATTGTGTACAGTTTAATAAATAAACTTTAATTAATACTTTTATATAACACTTTTTATATTTATTTTGATCTTTAAAATCGATCCTTCAAAGATATGAATATAATAAGTTTTAGCATGTGATTAGTTTCATAATTATAAATAAATTTATCAAATATAATATTTATAAAAAGATAAATTTTTTGCAGATTTTTATTCTTTTTAATAATATTTATATTTTTGTTATATTCATTATAATAAAATTAATAAAATTAATAAAATTGAATTAAAATAAATTACATACTTGATTTTAAATTCAATACAAAACTTATTATATCTATAAAGTTATAATTTGAAAAATTTAAAAAATTTCAATTTTTGTCAAGAATTTATATTTAAAACAATTTTTTAAATATATAAACATTTTAATAAAATGTTTATAATATTTTAATTTATATATATAGTTTTCATACATTAACAATTACATTTAATAATATCTCTATAATATAACAATTTTATAAGCTAATATATTTATTTGGAATGCATTCCATTCTTAAAAATGTATAATTATAAATGATTGAATTTCCATTTAATTGTAAAGATAAAATATATTTTTTTGTTTCTTAATAATTAATATTTAATAATTAAAAAAAATATATTGTTATGAGAAAGTAAAATATGTTTGTGCATCTTTTAATTTTGCTCTATATTTACAAAATATAACAATGTTAATTTTATATTAAACATACAATAAAAATTAAATATTGCATTAATAAATTCGATTAAATTTCCTATGTAATAAGTTTATGTATTATTTACATATTGACAGTTTTAACAATGTAACAGATTCTAACATGTAGTTATAAACTAAAATAAATGTTCCCTAATAAGCCATTTTTGAGTAATTAAGAGTAATTTTCAGAATATATATATTGAAAATAGTTACATGTTATAGAGTTTGATATATAAACATATCATTTGATCCGAAAATCTGTTTCAGTATACAGAAAATAGTACATAGACTAGGGAATCTAATAATATACATATTTATATCAGCATATACATAAATTATCATAATATCATATAATTTGCACATATAATATTATTAGTATTTTATATTATAGAAGTACATTAATAGTTGTTTTATACTACTATATACATATGCATAATACATATATATATTATATCGTTCTCTTTTTATATGCAAGTTCTTATATTTATATATATATATGTATGTGTGTTTATATGTATATATATATATATATATATATATATATATAAATGATAGAGATGCAAGCCCAACAGATTTGTTAAATGTACAGAAAAAAACAATTCTTTGACAAATTATGAAAACTTACATAAAATTTTAATTTTTTTTATATATTTTTTATATATTTATATTATTATTTTTTTCTTTTCTTTATTTATTATACAAGTATTTCAATAAATTTAAATATTTACTTATTATATTTTATATAGATATTTTTGCTATGCAATTTATTAATATTTATAATTCATATTACTTTTTGTTCATTTAGACATTTATATTTAACATGTCTATATGAAGACGTATAATTTTAAAAATAATAATGTATATAATCAATCAAATTTTATAAACTTAAATCGTTAATATAATTTAATTAATTAAATTATATTAAATGGCAGTGATATAGAAAA